GGGGAAAGTATAGAATTTCTCACATAATTAATATCACATGAACTATTCCGAAGGCTTCACATTGCGTAACAATAGCTCTCTTTCTCTTATTTTTTTTCTTTCTTTTCTTGTCCTGTTTCTTTTTTCCTTCATCTAATCATTCAACAATTCCTCCAAATGAGTAGTGACCTTATAAATAGCAACTAACCAATTCAACTAAGCAATGAAAGTTCATAAGTTGTTTACTCAACTCTCCACTCACTCACTAAAGATGTGTGAGTATAAAAAAACAGTGCACTTAAACCTGATAATTCTCTTGGCTATACATATTGAACATCCATCCAACCACAAAGCTTAGTATTCTGTGCAAAAAGTTTTTAGAAGTTACTCTTTAATAATCAAGATAGAGAAAGTGACTTAAACAAGTAATTTTGAAATCATACCTAGGTAGAAAAGCATAAATAAACCCTTTGACACAAGAATTACCAAAGTAAAAGGCATAAGCAAGGTGTTGTTCCTTTTTTTTTTTATCTCCTTTTTTGGAAGAGAATGTATATGAAAAGTGTGCATAAAATGTGCATGCAGTGCAACCACCCTCAACCTAAATGAGACAGTGTCCTCACTGGCATAGAATAAAAGAAATAAAAGTAAACCTACAATAGTAATAGCTATGGAAAGAAACCTAGAAACCTAACCTAATAAAAGATAAGCTACTAAATAAAAGCAAAAACAAATAAAAGAAAAGAAATAAAAAAAATGATATTATGGAAAGATAGAACCTGATTAAGTATCATAGATTGGAGTCACAAGAACGATTTCCTCAGGTTGGTCTAATTGCTCCACATACTACTTCAACCATATTCCATTAACTCAAAAAATTCTCCCATCGATTGGATCCTCCATCTCAACCGCAACATTAAGAAAAACTCATTTCACCACAAATGGACCTGTCCATCTAGATCTTAGCTTTCTTGGATGGAGATGTAAATGAGAATCATAAAGATGCACTTTTTGATTTGGCTCAAAGTTCTTTCTTAGGATCTGCTTGTCATGAGCTGCTTTCAATTTAGTTTTGTAGATACTAGAGTTATCATATGCATTGTTCCTCAACTCTTTTATCTCTGATATTTGTAACTTCCTTCAGGTACCTGCAACATTCAAACCAAAATTAAGTGCTTTAGTAGCCCAATAGCCCAATAGGCTTTATGTTCAAGCTCCACATGCTTTTCCATATACAATCTGGCATGGAGACATCTCAAGAATAGTTTTATAGGCAGTGCGATAAGCCCAAAGTGCATCCGAAAGGCATAAAGACCAATCTTTACAATTTGGGTTTATCGTTTTCTCCTAAATTTGTTTTAACTCCCTATTGGCTAACTCAACTTACCCATTAGTCTGTGGATGGTAAGCAGTAAAATAACAAGTTAAACTCTTCAATTAAGATCCTCCCTAGCCTACCTTAACATAATTCTCTAGCACTAGAAAAGAAGAAAATATGTGCCTAAGAATAACTTCTCTCGATACTAAACCTAGTTTTAAAGGCTCCTAACTAAAATAGCAGCCCTAGGGAATTAATTTTATTTTCTTCTTTCTTCCTGCACAATCTTGTTAGATAGGATTGGATCCTAATCACAGAGTGCGGAACCCCTCATGCTACTGTCTATCCTTTTCCATAGGCCAAGGGTTGGAACTTGAAAACAGTTCCAACACCTCATTAACACGTCAACTTCACAAACTTACATCTTAATAAAAAATGGAGAAAATCCCACTTGAGTTTTTAAACTTCTAAATTTAATCCTTGGACCCTCATCTTTCTGGTTCTTTGCATTTAACTTCTTTTCTTCTAATTCTCTCCATTTAATTACCAAATCTTCAATCATAAAAAATTGGCACAACATGTATAGAATATTTGTAGAAAAATATAACTCTTAAACCCATAATTCCACAAATATCAATGGTTAAACACACTAAGAGGTCATCAATTTCTTCTCATAGTATAGAGAATGATATTCTTTTAACTAAAGTAGTTCCCAAACATGTGCGAAAGAGATAGAATCTTGCCTCTTTGAAAGCATAAAAGAAAAACATAAAGATTAATGAATTAACTCTCCGTATGAACTCTACCTTTAAAATTCTGAGTGCATGCCCTCCCTTTAAAATTCACAAGGACGGATGCCGCGGATCCAAGTCACGGCGGTACGGCCACTGCCTCGTAGAAACAACGGTTGGCCAGTAGAACAACGACGGCCGCTGTGTAATAGTAGGAAACATAGCGCCACTTCGGTGCTCTATTTGTATCAGATTTCGCACGACGCCGGATCTATTTTCCAGTTCAACGGTAGTCATCATGGAAGAGTCAATCGGAGCCTAAAGTGATAAGCACGTCAAGGAGACCGATCCTACTCGTCACAGTGCCGGATCTGTCCTCGAGGCACCATTCGCCACCATGAGCGCGTCAATCCAAAGAGCGACGGCGAAGGATCCGGCGAAAAACGCGTCGTGAAAAAAGAGCGCTTTCCAAATTTCTTGGCCCCAAAGTTGGATCGGTGCGGCTGGACCGTAACTAGAGCCTCAACCGGTGCCGTCCAACCCTCCCACCGACGCCGAATGCAGGAACAGCGAAAGGGTGAAAGGAAATGAGAGCGGGAAGGTGAGGAGAGAGGAGAGTGGAAGTGACGTTTCGATTATTTTATTCTATTTTATTTTTTTTTTATTTCAACCCGCAGAGTGGATTCTCTAATAGGGCCGAAGCAAAGCCCAATCTTAATATCCACATCCTCTCTCAAGTCTCATCCGTGAAGTCGAAGATATGCTAATTCACCCAGGCCCAGTACTTGCATTGTGGCTCTTGTTGGCTTCTGCTTCTTCTTGTACCTCAAGTTGCATTTTGGAGCAAGAATGTCATAGAAAACTATCAGTTGGATTCATTAGTTAGTGAATATTGCTTTATAGGTTAGATCTCGGATTCAAGTCACTTAAAAAAATTAATTTCTTTAAATACTATAAGTTAATGTGAGAGTGCGTTTTTAAGATTGTAAAAGAGAAAAATTATAATCATTTTAGGCAAATGATAATGTGTTCCCATCAGGATTCTTATTTTATTATCTTTATTACAGAATATACAATCAAACCAAATACAAAAAAGTATCATATATATCAGCAAAGACAGAACAAAATGTAAAGCCCATCCACCTTTTCTGTTTACATGAGTTGTGCATGTCAGCGAATTCCAGGGAAGTTGTCCCAGCTAGGGACCCTTCCATGGTCAGCTGTGGTGTCCATGGGACATAGAGATGCTAATTGATGCATATCGGGCCCAAGATTATCATCCGTCACTACGAAAGATTGCCCGTTAGAGGCCTCCCTACCATCCCCGGTGTACCACTCATGAACTTGCATGGGAGAAGGGATAACATTGTCCTGCTTTGACAAGTCT